AAGCTTCAATCCTTACCGCTGCATCCCACCTGGGATTGTGTCTTTCTTCCTCGGTGGGCAATACTCTTTCAGAACAGATGGTCTGCTATTCCTCCGTTTGGCCTTCGTGTCCGGGCACTACTGGCTGAATTGGGTCTGGCATTGGATGACATTGCTGTCCCCAGTGATCAGCCCACTCCACCGTGGCTTATTACCATCCCTTCCTGTGACTTTTCCTTGAGTCATCTGAGGAAGGCGGATACTCCCGACTGGAAGTACCATTTTCTTTTTGCTGAACATCTTCTGAGCCATGCTTCTCTTCCTATTTACACGGATGGTTCGAAATTGGGTGACTCTGTTCACTGCCGAGTTATATGCTATTTCTCTTGCCCTAGATCATGTAGAAGCTATGCAGTACAATAATTGTACTATTTACACTGATTCTCTTAGCTCTCTACTGGCCCTGGAATTGCCTAACGTTAGTTCTCACCCTGTTCTCGTCAATATTCAACACCGACTGTCCCAATTTTCTCTATCTTCTACTTCCATCCAGTTTTACTGGATACCTGGCCACGTTGGTATTCACGGGAATGAGCTCATTGACACTGCAGCTAAGTCCGTCTGATCTGGTGCCGTCACGGCCGTGCCTGTCCCGTACATGGACTACGGTTCTGTCTTCATGGCACGGCTTCATGCCAGTTGGCAATCGACTTGGGGTGAACAACGTCATAAGCTTTTCCAGATCAAACCTTCTGTTGGTCTTTGGCCGTCTTGCTTCCTTAAGGATCGGAAGTTGTCTTGGCAAGGCTACGCATTGGCCACAGTTTTTTAACCCATCGTTTTCTTTTATCCAGTATTGACCCACCAGTGTGTAGCCATTGTGACACTCAAGTCACGATAGCCCACATTTTACTGTTGTGCCATCGTTACGATCGTGAGCAGCGGCACCATTTTAGTCACTCATTTTCTAAGAGTTTACACCTGACGTTGGACAGTGTCATTGGTAACGGTGACACTGTCTGACTAAATTGTATTTTTAATTTTTTACACACTATAGGTCTTTTTAATTGTATACAAATCTTTTATCGACATATTTTGGTTTTAATTTGCTCTATTTTTTACATTTTATTCTAATTTACTATCACTGTTTTTACCGGTTGTTTGGCTCAGATAGCCTCGTTGCTTTGTGCCATAAAGCACCAAACAAACAACCAACCAACCAGATGATCACTTTAGATATTATATTGCATACAGAACAGAAATATGAGCTTGTTACAGTTTTCATCAAGTTCCAGCAATACTCGTACATTTAAAGAAAAAATGAAACTACATTACCCCTGATTAGTTTATAATTTTGAGGATCACAATAACACTGTCATGTTCCTGGTGTAGTTTTAAATCCCCAATGAGTAAATATGTTCCTACACCTGGTGGTCACTAGTAGAAATTGTTAAACAATTATAAAAAGTTGGGCAATTGCATATAGTTTGTGTACTATGTATAGCATTGTCATGTTAATGATTTGATATAAAGACTTCTTTACTAGAATATCGATTTTGGCATCAAAGTAGTGTATTTAGAAACTCCCAAATGAAAACTTGGATTTTTATAGTTATAAATATTGTTAAAGAACTGTTTTTCTTGGACTTTATCCTGTTTGTGTGTCTGTAAACTTAAAATTTATTGAATACTACTTCTACTAAATTTTCACCAAACTTGGTAGGAGTACCAGTATTTTATATAGTGTTAAACCTGTTTATCCTAGTTTTACACACACACATGCATGTGTATGTGTCAGATATCTTTGTAGGTGTGAAAGTGGCATAGAAGAATGTGTAAACAAACAGAAATCAGTGTTGTTGTGACCTTAGAAATGTGAAACCACTAAAGCTATGTAGATGATTCTAGAGAGTTTACAGCATATAAAATGCACCTATATAGCATTTAATGTTTACTCCAAATAATGTCAAACATAAAACATGAAATTAGCATAGCCAGAAAACTTATTTCAATGAAAATATCATACATGCAACATATTCAATCAAATTTGCATAACAAGAAAAAAACAAGCTTATTTTTCAAATGACAAGCATATTTTCATTGGTGTTCTTTGTGGATATCATTGTCCCCAGTGAATAAACTGTACTGGCCTGGTGTAGCAGAAGGAAAAAAAAAAGCCAGGGTGTCTTTTACATGCGAGTAGTTTAAGAACTGTTGCCTGTTGCAAATAGGAACTTTAATAGAGAAGTGTTCATGAAAATTCAGAAACACTTACTGCTTGCTTAGCAGTGAAGAACCAGGTAAACTGCTTAGCTATGCTGATGCTAATCATCTTGGATTATTATCATTATCTTTTATAAATTTTTTAATTAATTATAGGCTTGATCATATATTTTTGTGTAGATTAATTTTTATATTTTAATCTACAGTAATATGGGGGATCAATAGGTAGAAATTAACTTATGGGGGCAAAACTGAGATATGCATTTTCTTTAACTTCACATATTAGACAAGTTGGTTTTTAGGGGCTTTTTTCAGGAAAAAAGTTTCTTGTATGCCGTAAAATATGGTAATTAATACACTGACCTTTAAAATTCAGATTATTAAAATGCAATTGTAATTTGGTAGAGTAGGTTTTGGTGAGTTATTAGAAGAACTTTCAATCATCCTGAGGTATTCATTTTGAACTGTACTTGTAGTCTCAAAATTATGAAAATTGATTAAATATTTTAGTTTTTTCTCTCTTGTTTTTACTTTAACAGTGATTGTTGTGCTCTTCTGTATTACTTTACTGTCTTATCAGGAAAATGTCTTTTCATTGTTTAGAGCAGTATCAGCTTTCTCCTCCTCAACAGTATTATGTAAGCTGAGCTTTTGTTATTTATGAATCAAGTTGACATTCAAAGCTAGTATTGTGAATCTAATTGTTAGGTTACATTTGGATTTACCTTTCCATTACAGAATATAGTGCCTCTAGAGCTGTTCCTGATGTACGAAATTCAGAGTACCTTAACACCATTGGCAGTAAGCTAATGCCAGGGATTCATATACTGTGGACAGGTATAGTATATATTCTTTATACAAGCATAAGTTTTGGCTGTTGTGACAGCCATTCTTTTTACAATTACAAGACTAAAAAATATAATAATACCAAAAGCAGTACAAGCAACTTTACTTAAAACAAATTGAGTATTGTTAGTCTGTATTAATTATATTGGCTTTTCAATAGTTCAGTCCCATATTAATCCTTTTGTGATGGACTCTGTATAGCATACACAAGTTATATATATTTATACTATAACTCATAATGCAGTAAGTGTATCATTATAAAATTTTGTAGTCTTTTAGTAAAGATTACAAGTCTTTCCTACATAAAAAACAAAACAAAAAAACATTTTTAATGGAGTATTTTTATCATAAATTTGTTTGTAAAAATATTGAGTCTGTTTTGTTTGCAGTCCAAGTGCGAAGTGAATTTTATGTTATAACTAAAAAAACTTGTTTGTCTCAAAAAAAATTATATTTGAGATAAAACCTATATACATTTCAAACTTGTTTTCAGTAAAACTTTAAATTTTTTCTGTTATTTTCTCTACTCTTAACTCTATGGGATCTGTCAAATTGACCAGCCTTGTAACCACCATAAAAAAATTAGGAAATAATTTTAAAATGCTTTTTTTTTGTTCTAGAGTGACTACAAATTATAACACGAAAACACAAGTGTTTAGTCTAAATAGCTTAAATCTCGTAACATTATACATTTATATATATTTATTATTTTGACCTTTCAGCCATGCCTGGCTAACAGTACAGAAGTTACAATGACATGATGCATGTGCACTCGTGATACAGTATCCAATAATATAAAACTGGCCTTTGCAAAGTGACCTGTCTTGGCTTTTTTTTAGTGGACTAATATTTTGTAAAATATAGGCACATATCAATTATTATAGATTATATATTTATATACATTAATACTATTTACAAATATGTTCTTAAACTTGTTTTTCTTAAAACATAGAACAGTAAATAAAGAAGTAAAGCAAACAATTGTCTCTTCTAGTTATGACCTTTGCAATCATTTGTTGCTTATCATACATTGCAAAGCCTTATGAAATTTCCCACACGGAGGATGTGAAAAGAAAATTTTTTTTAGGTTTTATATATACATTTTAAATAACCAAAAAAAATCATAAGTTACTATATCGATACCATAGAATTCCATTATAATTTATGAAGTTTAGTAATGAGATAGCATCCTAACACCTGAACTAGGGGGACATTATAAGCTTTCAATTGGTTATTCATGTCACATATAGAAGTGAGTGTATAAAAGGGGAGTGTTTACAAAAATGGAAAGAGGTGGGCCGCTGTGTTTAATTCAGTGCATGAGCGATATCTTTGCAAATAAAAAAGATAGGTTCTTATTTTATAATCTAGCTTGTCACTATTGGTAATTTGAGTTTCTGAAAACTATATACTTAATGTTTTGACTTCACAAACATCTAATTTGAGCTAGTGCTCTTTTCAACGTACCACGTGACACACAAACTTTGATGTTTATCTGTGTTTTTTAATATTTGCTTTTAAATTAAGAAACTGAGTAATATATAATACTAAAATTTGAATTATAGTCCAAAATTTTACATCAAAGTTACCGACATAAATTCGTGAAATATTAGTTCAATAAAATTTTGAATGCAAGTCAACAAACAAGATGACATGGCATTTCACCTGTGACCAGTCTTGAAAGGGTTAAACAAGATGACATGGCATTTCACCTGTGACCAGTCTTGAAAGGGTTAAACAAGATGACATGGCATTTCACCTGTGACCAGTCTTGAAAGGGTTAATTTGTTTTATAATTATTAACATTTTATCGTTGTGATTTGATTTCCATACATTTTTTGTGCACTAAAGCAATTACATAATATAAACACACAAACCTCTGTGATTAATCGTGTACAATGGAACATCATCACTCAACACTATAGGCCTGTGTGCTCACCAACCTAAAATATCTTCTCTTGACTTCTTATTGTCAAGAAATATTTCTATACCTTTCAAAGGAAAATTGTATAATACAGTAACATAATAATAATAATAATAAAAAAATATAAAAAAAAAAACATTTCCAAAAACAGTAAAAATATTCCTTCATCTTTAATTATCTAGAAACTTATTTCTAAGAACACTGTTCATTCTTTAAGAGAGGTATAAAAGTTTTGTTACAAATGATCATCAAGTTTTTATAATTTTTGAAACTAAAATGTCCATGTCTCATTGATATTTAGCTGTGAGGTGTGTGTGATTTGAATGCTCAATTGTGAATATATCTGTACGAGTTACAAGCATGTGAATTCAATACAAAAAATCACAACTCGGTTCATACTGGCTCTATATGCTGGAAAAATGTGTAATTTTTATAATTCTACATAGTTTGTTGGCAGACACCAATATGAGCTATGATTGCAGTATGTAAAACGAACAAAAAAGTGATAGTACGCATTTCACCCCCCACCCCCAACAGGTGCTACAGATAAAAATTGTTTTATCATCATTTGATGTACTATTTTCTGACTAAAGTTACAGAAATAGATGAGAATTGTATTTTTAAGTTAATTTGCAGTATTGACATCCAAACTTGTTCTGAACATTATGTATGTTCATGCAGTCCTAAATAAAAAATAAGGAAATATTGATTTCTAGAATTATGCTTAAACGTTTATTTAGAGTAATATACACTAAAATAATTTTCTTTGTATGCCTATAGGACCAAAAGTCATTTCAAAAGTAATCAGCATTGAATCAATCTTGGAGTTGTCAGAAGTGCTGAAGAGACCACCAATAATATGGGATAATCTTCATGCAAATGATTATGACCAGAAGAGAGTTTTTCTTGGCCCCTATAGTGGTCGGTCAACTGATCTTATTCCAAATCTTCATGGAGTATTGACAAATCCTAATTGTGAATATGAAACAAACTTTATTCCCATTCAGACTTTAGCTATGTGGAGTAAATGTAATCAGGATGGAAAAAGAGAGCTATCAACAAGTGAGTATAAATTAGAAATTACCATCTGTGTCCTTTAATCACTGAGTTATCCATGTTCATGTAACTCTTTTGCTACAAGGTCGGTTAATTCAACCGACCTTGTAAACATGATAGTTTCCATACTATAACTTTTGATACACTTTGTGTATCGCCACAAAATTTGGCAGACTTCAATTAACATTACATTGTACACAAAAAAAAAAATAATTAAGGGAGTATGTATGTGTGTGTGTATATTCACGCACGCATGCACACACACACACACTAGCTTCTGTATACTAGTTTGATCGCTTTTCTTCGTCTCAAATATTATTTGTGTAATCTCTTAAACCTAAATAAATTTCAAACTTTTTTTTTCCCAGTAAAACTATATTTCCTGTTATTTTCTCGACCATAACTTTATACGAGGTTGGTCAGCTTGACTGTCTTCATAACCACCAAGAATGAAAATAAAAAAATAAATCTAAAATACTTTTTTTTGTCTTTTTAGAATCACTTCAAATTGTAATATGAAACTACATTTGTTATCCTAAATAGCTTTAAACTCATAACAGTGTACATCTCTTCACACTTATATTTTATTGTTTTATTGCCCTTTGAACCTTGTCTTACTACTATTCCAGTCATTATAAGTTGTAAATCACTTGGTGGACGTGCAGCTCATTTTAAACTATCAAATTACAATATGCATGAGCTACTCATGAACGTACCTCGAACATTTATTATTTATTTCACCTAATCTAACCTTAACTAATACAAGTTTCCTATTTTTACATTTGAGTTACTTTTATAATAATAAATAATGAATACAAGTGAAAAACAAGAAAAAAGTACTTATCTGGATCTTTCTTTTTGTTGTCACCTGTCAATGACACTTAACCTTACTTTTTTATATTAAGGGTACTGCTGCACTAAATATTTTTTTATTTAGTTAAAAAATGCACCAAAGAACACAGAATAATAACATGCAAAAAGGAAATAAAGAGCCATTAAAAATTCATCTAAGCTGTGGGAATCAAGCTTGAACTGAAAGAGAAATTGTCAATTCTCTTTACAGAAAATAAACATAATACATCATTTTATAGATGAAAACCTTGGCTTTGTGTTGGTTATAAATAATATAATATTGAATGTTGGAGAGAACTGTTGGCAATTTCTGAAAGAGACAATTTGACAGGTGAGTGTGGCAAGAGGGCTCTGGTTGTCTATTTCATGGCTATGTAACTAAATAACATAGAAAACTATGAAAATTATACTTTGCCTGGGTGGTGACAACATTATAACGAGTAATTTACTTTAAATTTCATACTTCTGGTAGGAGTGGTAAATAAATGTGAGAAGAGGGATTGCCTAGAGAGCAAATGTCACAATTCTCACACCAGGAGAAATTCTAGATTTTATTTTAATATTGCCTTGTAAAAGTACGAACTTAACTTATATAATATTAAAATATGAATTATTAGCTACATTTTTATGGTATATTTATTGGTATACCATGAAAAAGTAATAGTTTTAATTAACCCACTAACTGTGGCTACTCTATACGTTCACTGAATTTTTGTAAGATGTACATCATATACAGCACACACAAAAAGGTACCTATGGGGGTAGGTGTTATGTTTTGATAAATGAATATTTTTTGGGTTTAAAAGAAACAGTTTAGTTATTTAAATACATTATCTAAACATTGTTTTATTGATAGTTTTGTCTTGCTTGCAGTTGGCCATACTTGTTAATATTGCATATTTTATTAACAAGAATTGTGTATCATGGGAATAAAACTGCAGAGAAAAATCAGCATGTGAATCAGTATTGACCTTAAGTGTAGTGTTGTTAAATGTTAAGATTTAATGTCTCACCAAGTCTATTATAATATTTCTTTAATGTAAAACTATAAATATTCCATTTGTGTAAAAATGTTAAATGTTGTTTCTTTTACTGTGCCTGTGGAAGCTGCAATCCATTTGCAACAGAGTAATAATGTATGGTGGTGTGAATAGTTTCTTTAGAGGAAAGTTGAATAGATAACTTGATGAGCTACCCTTTTTTAACTCCTCACTTGATCCATTGTTTCACCTGAAATTGACAAAATGGTTAGATTGCTTATAATTCAATCTTGCTTTATGCTCTGTATCTCATTATTACTGAAATTATTAACTAGTAAGTCAGGGGTTTCCTTTTTTTCACTTGTGACTCCTTAAGCCACTTACTTTGATTTGCATGACATCCCTGCTGCTACATGCAATATATTTTTTTATGTTCTTAATTGTTCTTCATTTGGTGAAACTCTCACAACATGCCAAGTAACTTGCTGCAACACAGTTTGGAAAGCACTGTAGTATATAGTATTGTTTATTGTGGGATTATTTGATCAAGCTAACAAATATAAATATAGAAAAACATTTCTTTTGATTCTTAGATGATTCTGTATCAGCTGATATCAAGTTGGAAACTGAGAATGAAAATGGATCAGTTGAAGATGTACCATCTCACCTTTCTCCTGATACCTATCATCCATCTCAAGCACTTAAGGTCGCTATAAAAGAGTGGCTGAATGAATTTTATGTTTCTAAAAATGCTTATGGCAGAGTTGTGCCTGGTCCATTTCTGCCATCTCCTGTCCCATCATGCCCACCTTGTCCTCCATCCACTTTAGTGAATCCTTGCCCACCAACTCCAACCATTAATACTTGTGTTGGAGTAACTATGACTACTAGTGTTCCTTGTCAGCAAGTACCATTTGGTGGAAACCCCAGTAATCCACTTGAAGGAGATCCTTCTGCCTTTCAACCCTTAACCAACGACCTCATGAACTCACTGGTTTCTGGAAACTTACCTCCATTACTTCAGGCAGACACCAAGAATGATGTAATCCTTGAACCCATGGACTGTAATCCATCTCCTAGATCTTCTGAATGCATGCAGGAGCGGATAACAGAAAAAGACAAGCAAGAGCCTGAAAATATTGTTACTTCAACAGTATGTACCAAAGACAGTGGAAAGCCAGTGGATGGCACTGAAGAAATGATAACAGAATCAACAGACATAAGCAACTCTAGAAAAGAAGAGGAAGTTAAGCAGCTAACCAAGGATGATGTCTCTCTCTTAGTAGACCTATTCTATTTACCATTTGGACATGGAAGCCATGGGTTGCAGCTTCTACAGGAATTTTTCTTTCTTAAAACCAATGGACATATTGTTTCTGAACACAGAAAGAAGAGTCATGATAAACCACAAACTCCTGAAATAGAAGAATGGTATCAGCGAGCTGCTAAGTTTGATGATATGACCAAGAATCTATCTAGACTGTTGATGAGACTTACATTTATCCCAAACAGATCACTCCTTTATGACCTTTATCCTTACTTGTGGGATATAAAAGGAGTGGTCTCATTGTTGAATTCTTACCTAAAGTGGCTCGGTAAGTATCTAAATTAAGATGGAATGGTATGTCACCTTCACCTTGAAGCTGTCTTAAAGGCACATCTTACCACCAGTGGCTTTTTCCCAAATCGGTAATTGATAATCTTGGATTTGTCAAGAGATGCAAATGTAAGAATTGTTATTGAAGGTAATGAATGCAAATTTTTGACAGTTTAAATAAATTTGATGCACCTTTGTTTACTTCCACCTTAAGATTTGTTAATTTCCTGGTTTCAAAAAAGTGAAGTAAATCATTTGTATCTTCTGAAACGATTCTTGCATTTTCTCACTTGTTTTTAATTTGTTAACGAATCTAAGATTGGATTAATTGCTTTTTTGGGAGGCAACCTGAAACTATCTTATTGAGTGGTTTAATTATATCACTGCTATATTGGGCATTAAGAATGTTGATTGTATCTTTGTATAACTGTTAAGAAAATTCTGATGCAAAAGCATTTATTAAGAATATAAATGAATTCTTAACCTCTTCAATCTGAAATATAAGATTAACATATGCATTAGGAGGAAAGTAAGTCTACAGCAATTTTAAATAAATGCAACAATTAATAAACAGTTGAAGTGAAATGCAGCCTTGGACAGCTTTTTGGGGGACTTGTTCTTTATGATTATATTTAAAGTAAGAAGTGTTGATTAGTGATTAAAAATTTGATATATATATATATATACATATATAAACAATAATAAAAACTTATTACCACAGAAAGTAATGAATCTTTTTGTTTCTTTTTTGGTCTGTAGCCCTTGGAAGAGTACCCCCAGCAGTGCCAGGTTTCATTCCTCCAACATGTACATGTATGCATCAACTACATTTGTCTTTTCAGTCTTGAAAAATCTGGTAACATGGTTTGTTTTTGTGGGTAGGTAGTAGATGCTGCGCTGCGATTGCAGTGTGAAGAAAAAGCTGCGACAGACTAATGTATTTTGACGATTCCAGCAGGGAAAATTTGCTACCAAGCATCACTTGACAGCTGTTTGGAAGAAGGCTGTTAATTTTATCTTTTCAGTTCTCAAGAGAAAATTAAAATTGTTTTATGTTGGTAGGTAGTAATCGAGCCTACTTGTTGCGCTGCGTTGATGTGCGAATAACTAACGTACTTTAGCACTCATGTAGGAAATGTGAAACATTTAACTGATCACAACATTAAAGAAGATGTCTGCTATCAACTACCTTCTCACTTTATTTTTTCACAGTGAGGTTTTGTCATCTTTTTTTTTTTTTTTTTGTTTTGTTTGTTTGAGAATGTAAAGAGAACTATTTCCAATGAGCAGAGATGAAATGTTAGTCATTCATTTTTATTCTGGCACAAATAGATTAAATAAGTAGTTTTTGCTTTTGTCCAAATTATTTAGTTTGGGCTGAATATCTTCAGTTGAATAAACATATTTGAAAATTGTGTAGTTAATTTAAAATGCCTATTTGTGACAGAATAGATATGGGCAGGGAAAATGAGGATTTTTGTTAGCAGGAGGAAATGTTTTGGTGCAGCAAGTATATGAGGAAATGGTGTTTTACATTGGTGAAAAATAATAAATAACATTTATAAGAAAATTTAAGTTTGTTTCAAATAACTTAAACTTAGGCCTTTTTTTTATTCCTTTTTTTTTTTTTTTTGTTGTTCAAAGAAGTGTGTTAAATTTCCATGCAAAGTTATATTGGGATTTTGGAAAGAACCATGACTCCTGTGATACAAAACCTCTTTTTGCTGTTTAAGATAACATTCTTTTTTGGCAATATTTTAGCTATTGTTTATGGTGATTGTGCATGTGCAGTAGTTAAAGCATGAAGTAGCCAAGCATCTTTAAACAGTAGTTTGGTTCTGGTGAAAACTTGATAAATTTACTGCAGATGCACAGTTTGTGTGTGTGTGTGTGTGTTTTCACAGGGAATAACGTAGGGAATGAAATTTGTTACTACTAATGATTTTTTTATATTGAACTTTTAGGGTTTTCCAAAGGTTATAAAGAAGCATTCATGAGTGGTGATCAAGAACCATGGTTATTCAGAGGGGGCCTTACAGCTGAATTACAAGTATGTATGTTGACAGAAAGGGGGAGGGGATGCAGCATCCATGGACTTTTAAATCATTTGTGCTTAAATACTTGTAGGCATGCTTAAATATACCAGATGTAAACACACAACCCTTGAATATTTGTGTGTCATACTGGTTTAGTTCTGTGATTGTAATTTTGTATGTAAGAAATCATATTCATTGTTCTTTGCAGCACCTAAGGTAATCAATTTGAAGGATAAAAATCAAGCAGGCTTTTTTGTTGTTACTATTTTTTAATATGCCAGTGTTTTTCCTCTAGATGGTTTATCTGCGGTGTTGGTTATAAATATAGATATGTACTGTGAAATATAGAGGTTTTCACTTACATTAATAACCGTAAGTAAATAGTTATTTTTAATAAGAAAATTAAGTTAATTGGTTTTTAATGTCTCAAGACAAAAATCATTGCATTTAAATTACAGTGGAAAAATTTAAATGAAGTTTAAAGAATATAAGTATGTTTATCAACAACACATAGTTACATCCATTAATGTGAAATTGTGTTAGTTTTATTTTTAACATTTCGCTTTCTGACTTGTTTTTGATTACTTAATCTTAATATTTGTGACATGTTCAACTGCAGGTTTTATTTTTTTTCTTGTACAGTGTCAATTTTTATAATACGGGGTGTGTGTGAAATTAGAATTTGAAATCTACATTTTGTCTATATATGTTGGGCTGAACAGTAAGAAAACTTCATTTGAAGTGTATGTAGTGAACCATCAAATTTGAATTAATGTTTATTTCATTTTTGTTTTGGTTGGTCAGTGGTAGTTTTAAGGCTATTCTTTCTTAGACGTATCCAGGAGATAAGTTTTATACACTAATATTAATATGTAACCCTGGGATATATGTGGTATCAACTGGTAGCACTTCTGAAGCATTGTAAACTGACAGGTCTAACATTTCTCATTAAAAAAAAGTATCATAAGATTACATGATTCTACACATTTATTTTGGTGTGTTCCATTGTGAAGTTGAAGGTGGTATGTAGAAGTAACATTTTTGATATTTCTTTTGTCTTTCATAAGTCACTGTCCAGAAGCCCTTTTTCTTAATATTAGACTTGTTGGTTTGCATTGCTTTGCCTACTTTGAAGTTCATAATTTTATTTTTTCTAGTGTTGTGTTTGTTGGAATTACATATTTTAGTTACTCAGTTGTTTTTTAACCATTTCACTGCAACTGGGATCTATATTTCCCAGTGCACTGTGAAATATATGCCCCAGCCATAGTGAAAGGGTTAAGCTTTACATTAAACTGGATACTTTTATGGTTATAATTTTTTAGTCTATACTTTGAAAGGAGATTATACGAGAGGAAAATTTTAGGAATTTTAGTATGTTTAAGGTACAGTAGTTTTATTCTGTGTTAGTTAATGTGTTTTAGATATCAAAATAATTCAAATAAGTCATGCGGTGTTTTGCAGAATTTTTTTGACAATATTGTAAAATTACCTAAATGTTTTAGTACTACCACAAAGTAATATACAAAGCTTTTTTTGGAACATTAGATAGCAAATAAACTTGTATATAAGCATTTTAGTTTTGTGTATTGAATGTTAATTGAAAAGAAACTTTTGTTTTAATAGAAATTTATTACAGCTTCGCAGTAACTTTCATAATTTTTTGAATGAGATTAATTTGCACTTCCGTGTAAATCACATGGGAGCATGAAATTCAAAAATTTCATTTTAAGGTGAAATTGTGTAGGTTTTAATAACTCATTTTTTCTAGTACATCAAAATATTCATGTTGAAGAGGGGGGGGGCTATCATATTTGAAACTTTATAATTTTCATTTTTCCAGAAGTAAGAAAAATATATTAAATTCTGCTTTTTCTTTTTTTACAGGATTTATGATTGCTAACATGAAAAGGGTTAAGAGAAACAGTGTTTATGCAAGATTTTTTTTTTTTTTATGTACTAATATATCTGAACCTCCTTCTGTAAATTTTAGAGATTGCTGCCACTTGAGAGTGTTACAGACTTGTTTTTGTACAAACCACCAGAACCTCCTAGTGCCAAAGTGTACACTATACGTCCATATCTGACAAGCGATGAGGTATGTTTGAAAAAAAAAGTTTTACATTAGAATACATTTTCTATTATTTAAGGGGATGGGTGCATAATATATTTCACACCAGTTTGTATTTCAGAACTAGATGTTTCTATGGGGTTACTAAACTGGTTTTCAAATTCTTATTATAGTTTTCTGTGTCGTTACAATGAAATTTAACAAAAACTATTCAATTCAGGCTACCTAAATTGTAGAAGAATTAAATATTAAAATTTTTTATAGGTTCTAATTGCACTTTAGGTATGCATGAAATAAAAATAATTGAAATATAATTGCATTTAAGTTTGTATTGATGTTGTATTGTTTTTTTTACATGTATGGTAGGCAGCTGTCTATGAAGTGTGTCGAAAAACGTGTGATGATGGGCTGGATGGAAGTGATGTATTCCCTGATTCTCCTGATCTTATTGGTGGGAAGTAAGTTGATTGATGTAGTAATTTCTAATAGCACAGTTAAATTAGGTAATGTTCTAATACTGTAATAGTTTCTAATATCTTTGTGATTGTTTTTTAGACAATAATAAGTAACTTTGTTAAATAGAATACAATCTGCTAAATTGTTTCATATAACAGGTGTCTAATAACTCAGCTTCACAAGGTTTTCTCTTTCAAGTTGTTTTATGTATGTTTACTTTTTTAACAAGTTATGTTCTGCTAAAATATTTTTCATATATTTTAAAATGTATTTGTTAAAGGTGTTTATATTAACTTTGGTAGACAGCAAAAATATATGTGTGAAACTAGTGATTTTCTTAGATTTTTTTTATATATTGCTTGGTGATTAGAAGTATGGTTTTGAGAGAGATTTTGTATTTAAAACTGAAATATTAAAATTTTTTGCACATTTTTTATCAGTGAAATGCCAAGTTTGTAAAGGGCAATTATAAGAACAGTATTTTAACCATACCGTCACAGGTCGAAGGCCATGTCATCATGTATATTTGCAAGTACCCAGTAATTATGAAGTGGAATGGGCTTGTAATGTTCTAATAATATATTAATTTCCTTCCTTTGAAAGGACTGTTACATGATCTGCTAGTTAAAAATTACCTTTGGTGGTATTGCATTATTGGATAATCAGGGATTTACTGTAGATCAATTATATAGATGCTAAACCTTTTACCTGTGGCACCATGGTTCATACTTGTAGTAACTTTCAGCTGGAGTTACCCTCCATATATTTTATCCTGGTGTTTTTTTCATCTTAGAATATTAATTACCATTATTGATACTTTATGAAGGCTTGTTGGAGCATTCCTTTGTATAAGTCCAGAATACTGCTTTGTGGTAGAAGATGAAGATGGAGTTTGTGGCTATGCCCTAGCTGCTTTAGATGCTCAACAATTCCTTAAGAAGACTGAAATTGCTTGGATTCCAGAGCTGTGTAGGAAATACCCAAAACCAAAGAAGGAAGATGGAAATATGCTAACTCCTGCTGAGGTAGACTTATTCAGTTAAGGTTTATTAAGAGTATAAATAACTTGTCATTTGTTGTAAGTTAGATTGTAATGGTTTACATGATACCTGGTGCTTTCACTTCCATTGTCTTGAAAAGTTTTTTTTTTTTCTGTTTTTAACAAAATTTAAAGTGGCATGACATAGTAATTTGACAAATTTAGTTCAGTACATAAATAATGAATTGCTACAAAATGACTAGTAAAGCAGTGTTCTCATTGATAGAAGCATTGATGCAGTGTAATTGTTAGCTATAATTTGTATATAATGCTTATACTATACTGACACAGAAGTCAGTAAATTTTATTGATTTTGTGAGAATACCCATAAAAAACAAAGATTAAAAAATTATATATACACACCAAAATTATTAAATATTTTCTGTGATAATTGTTGGGTTTTTCTTGTCTATTTGCTATCAGGGGCTCTTGTTCATTTACTGCCAAGGGGCCTTGTTGACGATTTACTAATCAAGGGTCCCTTTTTCTTAATTTAGTATCATGAGACACGAAAGGGCCACTTGCCAAAAATTGATGAGGCATATGATTCATGGCTAAGACATTGTTATTATACACTTGTATGCTTATAAAAATGAGTGTGTGGATTCTGCCAACCATTTTTGCCTTTGAATATTAATAAAGGTGTGCCAGCCCTGACTATTATTGAAGGTGTCTATCCACTGAAAAAAAAAACGAACTTGTAAATATATGATTGCACCTTCAGTAGGCTAGTTATGACAGACCACTATTCTGTTGTAACTGGTGCTGGCAAGAAAAACTTGTTTGATTATTTGAAAAATCTACTGTATATAGACAAAGTAAAGTTGTGCAGTGAAAAGCCCTCTGTATTGGAAAACACAAATAAGTGAAAAGAGGTATTTTACAATTTAAGTTTTAGTTAATGTGTAATAATAACAAAATTGTCAGAAAAAAATTTATCTTTTAAATTTGATATGATGTGTTAGTCATTTGTTTTGTAGAGCATCCACAATTTCATGTAATTTATCGTTTGACTTAGCTAGAGAAGTTCTTAGTTTGGCCCCAAATTTTCAAATCAAATGAGCCAAATTGCTACAGATTTTCAAAAAAGTCAGCTTAGACCATGAGTTTTTACATTAGGTCTTGTGTATATAAAATGTTCTCAGAATTAGAAAGTTCGGGTTTCATTGAA